TCATACTCATTAGACACGGCTTCCTTCATCAATGCCTTTACGCGAATGGTATCGAGGAGGGGGACGCCCGTATATGTTATATCGGACAATGGGACCAATTTCGTGGGCGCAGAGCGGGAGATGAGAGAATTAGTTCAAGCTTTAACCAGGACAAAATTGCCCAAGAAACCACCAAGTATCAACCTATTGAATGGAAATTCAATCCTCCATCGGCCCCTCATTTTGGAGGGATTTTCGAGGCTATGATAAAGAGCGCCAAGAAGGCAATAAAAATTGTCCTAGGAGATGCAGATGTGACGGATGAAGAACTTCAGACCGCAATGTGTGGAGCTGAAAGACTGGTAAACTCACGGCCCATCACTTATGTGAGTTCAGATCCAAACGACCCGTCCCCACTTACTCCAAATCATTTTATAGTCGGACAGATCGGTGGGGTATTTGCTCCTGAAGCTCTTGATCAAGTTGAAGCGAACAACCCTAGGAATCGCTGGCATCGAGTACAACAATTGTTACAGCTGTTCTGGAAGCGCTGGAGAAAGGAGTTCCTTCCACGTCTTAATGTAAGCAAGAAATGGTTTCATCCCAAACATAACCTGAAACAAGGCGATGTGGTATTGATTGCTGAACCCAAAGCAAGTAGGGGAGAATGGCCTCTTGCCCGTGTGATAGAAGCGTATCAAGGAAGTGACGGCCTAGTGCGAGTTGTAAAGGTGAAATCCAGGAACAAAGAATATTTCCGTCCTATACATCGATTGTGTCCTCTCGAGTATGTTGACGAACATTCGGACAATAATAATAATAATAATAATAATATATAAAGATTTATACAGCGCTTAAATTATATAAAATATTCCAAAGCGCTTTACAACAATGAAGTTATACTATATACAAGTAGCTAAAATATTAAGAATTAAGGTATAGGTGTCTATAAATCTAAAAGTTAGAATCGAAAGCTTTCTTAAATTAAAAAGGAAAGTCTTTAATTGAGATTTAAAACAGTCAATTGTTTTACTATTTCTAATACCAGAAGGTAGCATGTTCCAAATTGACGGAGCTGCATGCACAAATGCTCGATCACCAAGAGTCTTGGCTCTAGTTTTTGGGATAAAAAGTAGTCCCTGATCATCAGATCTCAGTTGATAACAACAGTTCGGTTTTTCTAACAACAGTTCCATAATGTAGCCTGGCGCCATCCCGTGGAGAGCTTTATATACCAGAAGTGCAATTTTAAAATCAACGCGAAACTTGACAGGCAGCCAGTGAAGGTGCATCAGGACAGGGGTAATATGAGCACATCTTGGTATAAGACACGTCACTCTAGCAGCGGCATTGAGAACTCGTTGAAGACGCTGAAGTTGGTATTGGGGAATGCCGAACAAGAGAGAATTGCAGTAGTCCAAGTGTGACGTCACAAAGGCATGTACGAGCGTTTTAGTTGATTCGATGGAGAGAAACTTCCTTATTTGTCGGATGTTGTACAAGCCCCTAAATGCTTTGCTGCAAACCTTGCCCACATGGACATTCATCGACATATGTTCGTCAAACCACGAACCTAGATTTCGGACTTCTTGTACAGGTTTTATATCAGCATCACCAACTTCAATCGAGTCGATTGTAACCTTAGACAGCTGCTGGCGAGTTCCAATTATCAAGAATTCCGTTTTAGTGTCATTGAACATTAATTTATGTGAAACTAACCAAGCACGAACTTCGACGATGCAATTATTAATAGTTTGAATAGCTTGGTCTTGGACAACGGGTGACTCAGGACGGAAAGATAAATAAAGTTGAGTGTCATCTGCATACCCATGGGAAGAAGGTAAGTGCCTGTTAATAATCTGAAACAGTTGAGACACGTATAATAGGAAAAGGACCGGTCCAAGACAGCTTCCTTGTGGTACTCCACAGTTCAACGTAAAATTGGCGGAAAACTTTTGCTTAATATTAATACGCTGCTTTCTACAGGAAAGAAACGACTTAATCCACTTTAAGGCATTTCCGATCACACCAAATTCTAACTTCAATATATCCATCAGAATTTCATGATCAATGGTGTCAAAGGCGGCACTCAAATCCAAGAGCACTAAAAGAGTTACTTTCTGTTGGTCCATGTTCATAAGGATATCATTGTGGACTCTTAGGAGAGCTGTTTCGGTAGAGTGAAATTGACGATATGACGATTGGTTGTTAGGAAGAGGAGCATTATCAGCACAATGCTCAAATAACTGGCTAACAACTGCTTTTTCCGTAGCTTTAGAAACGAATGACAGGTTACTGACGGGCCTGAAGTTCTCAAAGACTAGATCAAGACCGTATTTTTTTAGAATTGGAATAAGAATGGCAACTTTCCATGCTTCTGGGACGTGACCTTCACTTAACGACAAGTTGATCATTTTCATAATGACAGGCGTTAACTCACTGGCACATAATTTCAGCAGCCATGTTGGGATAGGATCAAGGTTACATGTTGCATTCGACGACTTCATGATTATGTTATGGACTTCTTCTTCTGACAGGAGCTTAAATGAGTCTAATTTGATATCAGGTAAACGATAATCTACTAATGGTGGGTCTACTACAACGTTTTCAATGTCATTTCTAATTAGCTCAATCTTTCGACAGAAATATTTTCCGAACTCATCAGCCAGTTTACGTGAATCATCATGTGGAGGCAAGGAGTTTTCTTGAGGTGTGTTGCAAAGTGAAGACACAACCTTAAAAAGTTTTCTTGAATCTCCCGAGCATTGATCGATAAGATCAGAATAGTATTTATGTCTAGCATTTTTCAAACTGGTAGCATACTTGTTACGCGCTTGGCGATAAGCGTCTTTATCATTTTGGCAATTTGATCGTAGCATTACTTTCTCCAGTTTTCTGCGTTTGGCCTTAATACGTTTAAGTTCTTCACTGAACCATGGTACTCTTGGTCTGACAACCACTATCTTTCTTTGTAAAGGGGCATGTTTCTCCAAAATATGTGATAGTGTATTATCATAATGAACATAGATAACTGAAACGTTATATAGAAGTGAACATAAAGGACGTTAATTAAGTCGTATTTGTTAGTATTCATTGACATTGCTAATCCCTCTATTTATTGTCTTTAAGTGGAATCGAATGCGTTGCATTCGGGAGGGGGATGTTAACGAACGATATTATTATATGAAGTACTTGTTATCATGACCGCTGAAATAGTCGCGCGGGCGACAAAACGTTGTTTGAACGTTCTAGTTTATATTTTTCGACTACAAAAAGTGTGACGATATTTAGGCTATTTTTGTGTTTAAAGACTCGGAATAAAGTGGCGAATTATCTCGTGTAGACATTTTATAGACAGTTCAATTAATTGGGAACACTATATAACACTTATGTTTACGACATGTTTTTTAACTTTTTTAAAACTCACAAATAGCATTTTTCAAGTCATTCTTGGGAGTTCGCAACAATGAGTAGTTGTCAACATTTCGTTAAAAAGTTATTATTTTACATAAAAATCAAATTAAAAATTCAGTTTTCTTTATGTGGTTTATATACTAAAACAATTAGACAACTCAGCCTCGTTGTCTCTGAGCGAATAATAGTCAACTCGGCTTCGCTTCGTTGACTATTCGCTCATAGACAACTCGGCTTCGTTGTCTAATTGTTAATTGATTACAACGATGTCGTGTTTAGTCCATTACCAGAATACCTATTAAAACGCTTACAACGAGTGAAGTACGCTGCTGCTGGCTTTGTATTTAATAGGTACGCTAGATTCACTAATATCATAGTGTCTCTCGGTTGGCTTCCAATTTTGGAACGTAGGAATTATCATCTTGCCAAATTAGCATACAAAGCAATGAATTGTGATGACTGGCCTTCATACTTAAAATTAGAGAAGAAAATTACGATCATCATCTGCCTGGCGTCTTAGACTAATAGTCCCTATTATCTCTGGAACTTTACAAGATGAAGCAGCTCGAGTGTTTAATTCTTTACCTAAAGAAATTCGAAACTGCGATACACTTAATAAAGATTATTGCAGAAACTCCTCCGAGTACTTTAATTTTAAAACATTAGACATTAGTCAAAAACAGAATTAGTGACACGACAGACACGTCGTAAACTGTGCTGTATTTTACTGTGTATTGTTGTGTCGTATTATGTACTCTGTTGTATGTATTGTACACTTTGTTAGTTATAATCAAACTCACTGCCACTGGTAGCATAGAAGATCCACTATGTGGAAATGACATTAAATCATTATTATTAATTATTTATTTAGTATTACATGTACAAATGCTCTTAACAATTCTTGTGGCAGCTGCATGTTATTATTATTATTATTATTATTATTATTATTATTATTATTATTATTATTATTATTATTATTATTATTATAATTGACATTCCCAAATGGGTTTTTCAATGACAATTTACATGTATAGATGTAAGAAAATTTCTACTCACTATTTAAGAATTTATCTAATCTAAAATCTATCTAATTTATAATATAATATCATTATATTTACAAAAAATTTTTAAAACATTTTAAAACAGACTTATCTTTATGTGGTTTAATTAAAACATGAAAAAGTTCACTATCTATGTTTCTTCATTAGATCAGTCTTAAGTTTTACTTTAAAACTGTTTAAATTAGTTATTAATTTTGTCTCCTTATCAAGTTCGTTCCATAATTTTGTACCTCTATTCTTAAAAGTTCTTTGTCCAGTACAAGTCCGAAACTTTGGGATATCTAAATCTTCATTACTTCTTCTATTACGATCGTGAACTTGGTCTCTTTGTTCGAATTTATCACAGAGATATGAAGGAGCTTGGCCATTTATACATTTAAACATTAATAGTGTATCTGCAACTTAATAACTGATACACAGTCTGTGGCCACAGTGGACCGTCGTTACAACGACGAAAGTATAATTTATGTCTGAATTCTACATCCTTTCTTCAGCCATTTGTAACGGGAGGACATGCAGGTTTTGGGCGTCATTTTCCGTTCTAGAAATACGTTTAATACGAAATCGGATATTTACGAAAGCAGATCTAATAATGGGTTGTGCATTGGCGTAGTTGTGGCATATAATTGTTAATTCTTACTCTTAGATTCTGGCAATGCTTGGAAACAGATACCTCCAACCATGGATATATCAGTTTTGGTTGGCACTCATATCATCGCGTGTTATTCATGTGACGACAACTCCCGCCATTGATGTAGATAACCCTGGCAATCTTACCCTTGGCGGACTATTCGTCCTAACTGAGATTAATGAGAAAAGCAAATGTCTTGACAGAATTTCTTTGGATGGTCTAAGATCTTTACTAGCTATGCAGTTTGCTGTGGAACGTATCAACTATGACGACACCATTCTGCCAAACATTACTCTTGGAATTAAAGCATTTGATACCTGCTTTAGTCGTGTTCCAGCGCTGGAATACACCCTTAAGCATTTTGTGCTTGGTAAACATAAGGGCAAACTAAGTCAATATCCAATTGCTGGACTTATTGGACCTGCACTGAGTCATGAAGCAGTTTATATATCAAAGGTAAGTCGTCCCGAAAGTCAATACCTATGGTCAGTACAATCGTACAAAATCAACACTGCCGCTGTACATCTAGATTCATGACGATAAAATTAGCCAATGACTGCAATGCATTCAATCGCGGCATGAAATATACCCATGGTGTTTAATCATGTTTCAAGTGACATTTTAGCTGTTTGCCTTCTAGAATAACCCCCCCCCCCAAAAAAAAAAACCAAAAAAAAACAACTAATAATAAATACTTCCTCCAACCAGCTTCGCCAGCCTCTCCTCTTTTAAAAGAAACATTAAACACACGTACAAACACTGTTTAGAGCCAAAATTTGACATAGACATGTCATGCAAACTGCTGTTGCCACAAATTCTAATTTTAAATACAGCTGTACTGTGTCTTTGAACATTGACATTGTAGAGTCTGTTATATTTTTTCTATTGTGACGGTGAGCACCTTGCATGGGACTTTGTGTCCCGTTCGTGCTTTAATTTTGCCGTTTGGGTCTTCTACAAATTGACGTGCTTATGTTGTTATAAAGTTGAGTTTCTGTTTGTTAGTTTTTGCACGGAAAATTGACGAAATTTCGGAAATTTTGCCCTAAAACAGGGCTAAAAACAGTATTTTTAAAAGTGCAAATGGGAGGGGTTGTCGGAAATTTGAAGGTCAGTTTGTCGGAAATTTAGGTGGCTTTGCCCCCCCCCCCAGAAAAAGTGAATTTCCGCCACTGACAAGTATTTATTATATAGTTTCTGCCGCAGCGAGCGAGCCTGAAGCGAGCGAGCAAGGCAGCAGACTTAATCTTTATGTATATGTATTATATATATGCAGATGAAATCTCGATCGTTTCGGCGTATTTCGGCCTAGCACAAGGCACTGCTTTCGGGCCGGCAGGTTATTCTTGCCTAATAAACAGGCATAAGGCAAATAAGCAATGTGATCATCTTTCATCTTTGGTTTTCTTTTATGGAAAGCCATGTAGCTGGCGCAGGCGTAAGTGATTGAACGCCGGCATTTTGTTGAGTGCTTTTAGCAATACGGCGGTGCTTTGAGTTTCTGCATTAGCCGCGGTGCTTTCGCCATTATACACAGAGGTTCGAGCAGGCGGTGCTTTCTGAGCTTTCGCTATTATACGCAGTGGTTAGAGCATAAAACGTGGAAATCAGCTACGGTTGACGGGGTCAGCGTGGATAATTTAAAGTTATACTACTTCTTCTACTACTACGTGGTGCTTTCGCCATTTATATACGCGGTGCTTTCGCCATTTATATATGCAGTGGTTCGAGCATTATACGCGGTACTTTCGCCATTATACGGGGTGCTTTCAACATAATTTCCATATTCTTTCCATTGGCTGTGCTTTTTGCCTCTGGTCTGCAATGACAAAGATCGAAGATAGAAGAAGAAACTTTATTTAAACAAATACCAATATTGGTACATTGGATACCTACATATACATTAGTTACAAAAAATAAAATATAAAAAAGACATTACAGTATATAAACTTACAAATAATTTATTCAGGCAAACTCATTCAATATGTCAAAAGTTCTTAGTATATGGTAGCAATATTTTGAAGATAATTTCAGAATATTTCTATCTTTCATACTTAGTATATAATGGAACAAACTTTGTGTATCAAAATATTTAAATGATTGGTTCATTTTATAAACAGAATTAATAAAATTCTGTCGCAAAAATGTAAACACTGTGTTACCAGATGCATGACATTAGGTAATGTTGTTCATTTCCAACTTCACCCTGATCACAAAGTTTACATTTTCTGTCACAGTAGGCAATTTTTTTATATCGGCCAATTTCTACGAGGGCCCTGAAGGGGTAAAATGGGAACTGGGATTGATCTATTTTTAGACTGGGAAAATGGTATTTGGGTTGCTGGGACTGGGATTTGGCCACTGGGAATGGAAAATGAAGTCCTCAAAAATGGGAATGGGATTGAGGTAATGCGAGTCGATTCCCAATTTTTCTACGTTTTAAGTATTTTAAAATACAATTTTGATCCGTTTTTGGTGACTTTGGTCATGAGTTTTGTTGTTAAATATAATATTATTCACAGCACTACCTGCGAACAGGCATACTCTAGCGCCCGGAATTCTGGGTTTTCTGATTATGCGTGTCTCAGAATGCTGCAAATGCCATTTCCGGGATTCAAATTTAAAAAATTTCCGTGGCTTCGGCACGAGCCTCCTCCAATATTCCATAAAGTTTCCGCCACTTGCACACACGGTGGCTTAAAAAGGTCTTAATGCTGTTTATTGTACCGATAAATAAAGGGGTTTTTATTGACTGGGATTTCAATAACTCGGACTGGGATTTTGTCAAAATTTCAGGTGGGAAATGGGATT